ATCATTAACGACGAGCTGTGAGTCCCAGCTCGTCCCAGAACAGCTAAATCAATCCACTGTTTTAACTGGTGTCGCTCTAGCCGTCGATGTAGGGAGGGCATTTCGCGCATATGGTGGGCACTCCCGGCGATACGAACCCAGCCGTTTCCATGTCTTAGCTGATCGCGTTCATGACTTATTCGAGTGTTTGGTGTGTTCTCGCTGCGTGGCGTTCTCGGATGCCGCTTTGACCTGCCGCCTTATTGTGCGTAGCAACGTGTTTCGCCCTACTCCGCGGTATTGGCGTTCTCGGTCGACGTGCTCGAACGCCGCCTTACTGTAGGTGGCGACGTTTTTCCCGCCTGATGAACTGCTCTCACTGCATGGCGTGCTCGGGCGCCGCATCGTTCTAGTTCTTCGTGCTTGGGGTGCCATGCTCCGCGTTTTTGAAGTGCTCGGTCTGCGTAGTTTGCTCGTTGGCTGCCTTATAGTACGTAGCTACGTTTTTCCTGTCTGATGGATTGCTCGCATTGCGTAGTTATTAGTACTTATGGTGCCCTACTCCGCGGTTTTGGCGTTCTCTGTCGATGTGTTTCTCGTCTAATGAATTGTTTTCGCTGCGTGGCGTGCTCGGGTGTCAAAATAAGCTGAGGTAGCTAGTCCAAAAATAGGAATCTTGTGCTAAAGCACATCCTGTGTCTCTGTCGCAGCCGCAGCATCTGCCGCGTCGAAGCTACACTATGAATATGACTATCAACCATTTTTAAATCTTTGGTACCTGTATAAACCTGAGATAGTTTTGAGGATAGTGCGCAAGCGACCCAATTGTAAAATGAAGCTGACGACAACGTAAAGAAGACAGACATCTACCTCTGGAATACACGCTCGATACGAATGAATATTCGACCCCCAAATCAATTTCTCTGCCACCCCTCTGTTATAAAAACGAAAGGACGACCTTCGCGTCCAGGTTTTTCGGATGAAAAAAACTCAGAATTCTGATTCGCCATGTATTATCCAGGCTGTGTTCCAGGTTTCATACCGATTTCTCCGAATCAGAAAACGTAAATTTAGCTGGATAAGTGTACTTCACTACCAGTTTTTTTCCAGGTGAAAGTATCTGGACAATATGTATGTGCGGTGTTCAACGAAAAGTGGAAGTGAACAGAGCTGAATGTCTCGCAGCCAACCAATATGGTCAAAGGTGGTCCGGGTATGGTCCAGGTATAACACCTGTTCAATTAGCATTTATCCGACATGGAAAAAGATGAAATGAACACCACTTCATTGTGTCGGCTACAAGTTTAGAAGCACCATAAGCTCAGGACCCCATCACACAAACACAGGTATTTTCCAGGTTTTATCCAGGTATCACATGTATTGAAAATATAGAGACCAAAGTCTCTTAGCTAGCGCTGCTTCATCTTCAAAAGGGCTTGTAGCAAAGCCCAGCGCAGCTTCGTTATTACAGAAGTTGACAGATCACTCGGGGCTTTGTCACTTACATAGCGCTGGAAGAACAGTGACACGAACACCCCGCAATTGCTGCCATCTTTCTGCTTTGGTTCCGTAACACTTACCTATTCGTAGGTATCACCTGTGTGTGGATGACTTCCTTTATCGCAATCTTTTAATGTTTTTCTCCATGTATTCGCGAAGGCTCTCCTCGAGACTTCTCCAGGAGTCATGTTCCTTCTTAAAGACAGGGACTGCAACCAAATACTCATTTTCCACACCCGAAAGTGATCGCTTCTTTCCCTTGCCCCCTTTAAATGCAGAAGCATTTTTTTCTCAGTGTCCTCTTCGTCTTCTTCTTCAGCAGCAGTTGATTCTTCTTCTTCACTTTCTTCTTCTTCTTCATCATCTTCTTTTTCTCATTTATCTTCTGCGGCTCCTTCTCCGGCTTCTTGCTGTTCTACTCCCTCTACTTTTTTTTTCTGTATCGGCCTCTTCCTCTACGTCCTTAGCTTTTGTCGTATTAGGGATAACGGGATCGTTACTCTGGCGCTCGCTCGCTCGGCCGAACGCGCCAGCTTTCTCAGAGCGCGCTCGCGCGCTTTCAAGATCTGCAACCTGGGTCTTGTTTCGCCGGTGTGCTTCCTCTTAATCGAGACGAACTTTCTCCGCCATCTGTGTCTTGAACATGGCAGTCTTGCGGGTCCGTGCCATGCGAAGAGGGCCAGGGAGCTGCCG